AAAGAAGCAAAGATACCCTGACTCAAGCCAAGATAGAATTCGAGGATTGACCCCTGAAGTTGTCCTCTGACCTCCACACCCATGCTATAGCACACATACTCCCACACATGCATACGCACATCATACACTCGTACATAGACATAGAATTAAGCACATACACTCCAGAAAAAGAAAGTAGCATAGCCAACACAGAATAATTGATTTCTCATACCCATAGACCTGCCCCCTTCTAAGCTGCCTTTTCTTAGTGACAGATGCCTACTGCCGTGAGTTTAGGCAAAATTCCTTGAAATTCTTCTATCTCACTAATCCCTATTAGCCCAGTTTCCAAAATTACCTCCTATCTAGCTATTTCTTACCATTCCTGTTATATCCCTAGTCTAAGAGACCATGTTGTCTCTTTGTGTGTGTAGAGGGGGTTCTGTGCACGTGTGTTGGTACCCGTGCCTGTGCACATACGCACTGAAGCCAATAGGAGTTCATGGTCCCCCTCAGTTATATAGTAAGTTCCTTGCTAGCTAGAGCTACATGAGACCCTGTCTAAAAAAAAGAAGAAAGCCAAGCTAAAGACTATTAAAATCTACAAATGTGATCTGCAAATGTTAATCTTCAGACTATGGATATGGCCCGACCCAAAAATCACAGGAGAGTCCCTGGGGCTTACCAGCCATCCTGGCCCTCAAACCCAGGGAGAGACTCTGACTCAAAAAGTTAACAAAAGTAGATGCCTATGGTCTAGAAAGATGTGATAGCGGTTAAGAGCACCTCCTATTCTTCCAGAGGGTCAGAGTGTGACTCCTAGCCCCTGTGTCTATAATTCTAGCTCCAAGAAAGCCAACACCTTCTGGCCACCTTGGCAGACACACATACATAACATGAATTAAAGAAAGAAATGTTATGCTGTGCTGTGGTGGCACATGCCTTTAATCCCAGCACTCAGGAGACAGAGGCAGGCACAGAGGCAGGTGGACCTCTGTGAGTTGGAGGTAAGTTCCCAGATAGCCGGGGCTATGTAGAAAGACTCTGTCTCAAAATAAAAAAGTAGCATGGTGTCACAAAGCTCTAGTCCCTGTACTTAGGAGGTAAGTTGAGAAAATGTCCAATTATGCCACATACTTCAAAAAAAGTCAAATAAGAGCCGGGCATTGGTGGCCCACACCTTTAATCCCAGCACTCGGGAGGCAGAGGTAGGTGGATCTCTGTGAGTTCAAGACCAGCCTGGTCTACTAGAGCTAGTTCCA